TGATGACGAACAACTAAAAGAAAATTCAATTTGTTCGAATAAAGATCTATTTAATAATGGTTTTTATTTATTAAAAACACCATCAGTTCTTCCACGTCGTATTCATCAAACCAGTGAATGTAGTAAACAAATCTGTGTTCGATATGTTTTGTAACGTTAAAATTTATTCGTTTTTATTTAATATTAATCTTATTTTTAAAAGATTTGATCCATCATTAATAAAAGTTGTTCGCCAACGACGACGACGTATCATCGAATCGATTTATTTACATGTTCAACAAAAGTAATTCGTTTTAAATAAAGTCTTCTATTCAATTGATTTTCTTATCGTAGGAAAAATATATTTGAAAAATTTATTCATCTATTTAATGGAATCAAATCATCAACAATTTATGAATTAGGTTTACAATTTTTATATGTTTATAATGGATTATTTAATTATCGACAAGGACATACTGTATGCATATTTTAATTAATTATTTTGAATTTATTTTTATAATTTAGTTCGTCATGTTTTTTCGAAGAAATATTTGGTATTTAACTATTGGCAAAATTAAATGTAAGTTTATTTAAAGAATAAAATTTATTCAAAACAAAATATTTATCTTAATATAGATATTGATTGTCAATTAGATGAACATGGACCACAATCAACATTGATACTCAATTACAAAAATCAAATTACTTCTGTTCAGGTTTAACTAATTATTTATTATAATTTAAGAAAAAAATTCTTTGAAAATCAAAATGCAATGTCTTTTATTCTAATTATTAATTTATTGCCTTTATTTTGTTCAATAAATTCATCACTTTACTCAGTTTATAATTCGAAGAAAAAATGAAACAAATTTTCTTTTTCCCTCGTTTTTGTTCAATATGAAAAATATGTCAACCGAACAAATCCTAATAACTTTCGACGGAAGTTATATGTTTGATAAACTGACAAGGGAACGAAAGAAAATATTTTCTCCTTTCTTTTGAATCTTTCACTTATTTTTTCTTGTAAAAAATTTCCAAAATAGAAGAAATGATGAAAAGTAATTCAATAAATCTCTATATTAATCATGTTGTTATCTATATCGAATCAATTAATCAATCATATGAGGAATAAACCAACGAATATTCACTTAACATTAAATTGTTGATAGTGTCACATTTTTCAACGTATAAATCGATAACGAAGATAGGCACTATTTACATTTTTTTAAGATACTTTATTCTCAATTCCATACGATACGAAAATGATAGAATAGATTCAATTTAATGAATTTATTTTTATTTTCTTAAGCACTTGTTCATCAATCATTGCCAATAGAAAAAAAACAATACGTAGATCATTAAATGATCATTTTATGAATGTTCAATTATTAACTTTATGCGGATGTGAGTGTGAGCGAAGTGTGGGTGTGATGGGGGTGTGAGTGAGAGCAGATGTACCAGCCTACACCCATACCCTATACCAGTGAATTGTTGCGTTGCTTTAGTTAAAAATGCATGCGAATAATTTTTGTTGAACAATTTCGTAGATATATTTTAGCTTAAAAATATTTATTGAAGAAATTTTGATGAAAGAAAAATTTGAAAAATTACATAGAATTTCTGTTCTATAACCTTTATTTTTCGCAAGATTTATTGATCTACATTCATGTTTATATATATATGATTTGTTTGCACATATTTTTCGTAAATAGAGTTTTGGGCTCCGTAAAAGAATCCGACACTAGGTGTCTTTTGCTAACTTTCTTTTGTATTAACTAACAATTGAAGATCATGCAGCGGTAAATTAAGGAGATTGCTCATAGTTGAATCAAATGACTACTCGCACTCATAGACCAACTAGTTTAAAACATGAGCTGCCCATAGCGTACATAGACCGAGTTGTTTTGATTTTAAGATATTTACAGTTTGTCATGTGCCCAAATTACGAAGTTTTATCAACCTTTAGTTTTATTTTTTCGTCATGGTTGGACGGAATACGACTATTTACATAAGGAGACGCAATACCACACACATTCAAAAGCAATTTGACAACAATTACAATTTTTTGTTTATTACTCTTATAATTAAAAAAATGTTATCTTAGACTTCGTAGAATTTGCTTTTTAATATGCATGATATTGTTTTTTCTTATGTAAATGATCCTGCTCCATCCAACCATGATGAAAAAAAAAAACTAAGTGTTTTGAAATTTCGTAGTGTGGACACATAACAAACTGTAAACTTCTTGAAACTCGAATATCTCGGTGTGTGTATACACTATTGGCTTACAATACATGGTCTTTTACTCTAAGCTATATAATGGTTGTATTGTCTCTCTTTACTATGAAATACATTTGGAAACAAAGTGTGAGTCGATAAACAAAAAAAGTGAAGCCTTTTGTACAAGTATGTCAACATGATAGTCCTTGGTTTGGAAAAAGCTACTCTTTCTGATTAGTTTCCGATTTCGAAAAAAAATTCTGATCTTTTTCTGATTTTGACAACAAGAATTTCTGATCTTTAACTTTTTCATCTAGTAACCTTGGTGAAAATATCAGAAGCGATTCTTTTCATCTTCTTTTCTTCATTCTTTACAGAAAGAACAAGCAAAAAGTCCATGTGTGATTCAGAGCGAAGAAAAAAAAAAGAGTTACTACCTAATTCAAAAATAAATAAACGATTATGGAAAAGTAAAATTTCAATGAGTAAAAACCTACTAATAAAGATTACAATCGGCAAATCTCTAAATGACATGAGCAATTGCTCATTTTTCCTTTCCTTGGCTACACCACTGATCGAATGTACGATGTATTATAATATCAGTGACGATGCCACACATCGTGTGGGTGTAGGTGAAGATGTACTTTGTGATTGTGACGTTGTGGGTTGGACATACTTTGTTGATCGGGCCGGTAATGCGATCGTTCGACAAGCACCAGCCATAGGCTGTGGTGGACAGAAAGGTGGTTGGTAATTTGGCGCTTATCCAACAGAATCTTGGATAATGATGCTTAGTACTTTATGTTATACAGATGAAATACGCATATCTTGTCAAGCTCCGACGTCAGTTCGTACCACACATTGTGGTGATTTTCTAGTCTTTGAATTACGTTCGCCACCGTTTTGTTCAGCACGAGTTTGTACTAATGATTACAAACTAAACTAAAATCTAATCCCATATTATTATAATCTCTCATCGTACCCATTTTATATATATTGTTCTCATCAATCTATATAAATTGTTTAATATTAATATTATTTATTTCCTATATGCCATTAGATAGAGTAACAAATATCATGAATCGTATCGTAAGATTTTCGAAGAAATTCTTGGTTACGATGGAAGATCAAATGTTCAAATAGTATAATTATATATAAGTATAGGGATATTCTGATAATTTCTTTATTAGTTGAATGAAAAAAATCTGTTAACGCCATTCGTGTGAGAGTAAAATGCGAAACACGATGGAGTTGCTGACACTGGAAGTCGCAACTCAAGTTTATGTCACGGTCTGTGACGTTTCCATGGCAGTGACTATTATCGTAAATGGATCATATGGAATTATATTGAAATACGCTAGTGAGAATAAATATTTATTTATAAATGTTCTCAGATGATGCTAATACAAGTTCATAATTGGCATTCACTGTCAGCGACAATCATTTGATGTTTACAACAGTTTATAAAACGTTTTTTAACATAAATTGGAAATCGTCCAAAAGGTGATGTCTGCCAAAATTCATCAAGATATATTTTTGTTAAATAAACGTAGGCAAAAAATGATAATGTCAATGCACCATCACATAAGAGTCCTATTACAGTCTCTGTAGGAAATACTGTTCTGGATTCTGCTCGTAAGCAATTCATCAGTTTATCAAATATAAAGTTGGGACTAGTCAGTAGAAAGTAGAGTATTGGTGGTAGAAAAAAAATCATAATGTTTCGATGCAATTAAAACTAATGATGAACGAAATGATTCATCATCGACTAAGGCGCAACGATGTTTAATGAGATGCTTAAAAATAACTCCACATGCAATTGTGAATGAAAGTGGTACACCTATATGGTTAAAATAATCGAATATTAAATAGAATGTATAACCAATTGATGTAAAGTTTAATAAACAAAAATTATATAAATTATATTTATAGCTTTTTCGACCAAATAAAATTGGAAATAGATTTGTTAATGGTACTGATACAAAGAGTGATCTTGAAGAAACAAATGAACGTCGTCTTGAATCATAAAGACTAACAAATGAATATTTAATAAGAACACGTTCAATAGCAATATATAAGCAAAACCAATAGAGACACAAACTTAATGAATTTTGAAATATTCGTATAAACGCACACTGTATCAAATGATTTAATTCTGGCAGTTCTTTAAAATTGAAAGTTAAATTCATAAACGCAAATACAATTTGTATAATACTAACAATTAAACCAGTTAATGAGAATAAGATTAAATATATCCCAAGATTTGTTATACGAATTTTGGGTGTGGGTGTGGGTGTGGGTGCGGGTGGGGGTGGGTGTGGGGGTGGGGGTGGGTGTGGGTGCGTGTGGGTGCGGGTGGGGGTGGGTGTGGGGTGTGGGTGTGTGTGAGTATACAGAAAATGAATACTCACACCCACACCCCACATCCACACCAACACCCACACTCACATCCACCCCCACCCCACCCCCACCCACACCCCACACCCACACCTATCCTTAACTGCATTATTTACTTCTTCTTTTAAAGTACGACGATAATTTACAACAACTGCACACTCCATACTAAGAGAAGCATGTGGGCCTTGACATTGAGCACATAATACTGATTTTTGACATTTATGATTATGATTCCATAAATCTAAACATTTTCGACAGCGTGGACCTACTTTACATTGATATCGAGTATGACCTAACTTCCAACACTTATTGCAATAAGTCATTTTAAGATCAGGTATAAATGCAGTTATTGGTAAAAGTACATGACCAAAAGCTAAACGACCAATATTTAATACCTCTTCATATTAGTTTTCAGCTGTAATACAAAATCTAAAATCATCTGTAGAACTAGGACAATGATAATTAATTTTTGCCAATTCTATAGCTGATATAATTGATCTTGATATTTCTTGAATAACAAATTTCCTTGATAAATCAGCTGGTACATAACGTAAAACTACTGCACAAGAATCAGGTAAACCACGAGGTCTTTCTGTTTCAATATCAATTTTGTTCATGTCCTTTGGCCACTTACAGTTCCAAAGCAACAAAAAGTCCGTTTTGGTTGTAACACCAACTTTATAACGATTTATACCATCCGGGACCAAAAGAGAGAAATCACCAAGTGATTGAGCTGATTGTTGTTATACCAAATGGCGAATCCATGAAGCCACCTTCATAGCAGATGCTAATTTTTGTTATTGGGCTGGATCATCATCAAGACTAAAATTAATATAAAAACATGGTAAATTATTAGACATTGCATGTTTTAATTGAGGTGGAGAAAAACGAAATCGACGATCCGTTGCTAATGATGATAATGTTTTATCCTTGGAATTAAGATTTGGTGGTGTTGGTTCATGTACACTAGATTTTTTTGTTTGACTTTGTGGTTGAAATTCAAAAGAGTTACTTTCATCTAATAGTCGTCGTAGTGTTGATGATGTTTGATTACATGCTGTTAATGATGGTAGAACAATTGTGTTATCAGTACATGTTTTTGTCATTTGATTATTGATCAGCTGATATCGATTTTGAATCAACGATGACGTGATTGGCTTGTCAGTTAAACGCGGTAGATGCCGTACTGATTGTTGAAATGGACCAGGAGATGAAGATAGAACGAATGAAGAACGTGAACGATGAATCATCTTTTTATTTCTTTGTTCATTTAATTGTTGTTTCTTGTACATTTCCATCATAAATAGTACGTAGCCTGATGGCTAAAAGTAATGGAGAAACACCAATCAATGTCTAATACACTATGTGTGGCGACACCTAGGATGAGACTCATTTTTGGAAGCTCTTATTTATAGCACATGAAGTGCATCACTAATAAAGATTATTTATGAAGTCAAACTCTTCTGACCCAGTATAATCATGGAACTAAACCAAAATAAAAGCATTGATTTACTGACATCTTTCGCGTCCATTCATTCTCACACAAAATTGATAATACTATAATTGAATTCCGCATGTAATGTAGCGCCATCATCTAGGTGAGACTCACTTTTCTCGAAAACAAAATATGCAGATAAATATATCTGTTGTTTCTATACATTTTTATCAAATTTGTTTTTTCTGACCCTTCAGTTTGGACTAAGTGCATTAGTGGATATCGATTTCTACATTGATTGGATGACTCATGTATATATGTGCATAGACTAATAATGAATAAATTGAACATCACCATTCATTTGCTTTAGCCTAATTCTTAATTGTTTGTAAACTATCTGGTGGAACTTGTTCTGTGGCTAT